TTTCCACCTGCCGGGTGGTGGCGTTGTACATGCCCTGCAGGGAGAGGGGACAGCTGGACAGCGTGGACGTGTCAGGGGAAGGGACCTCAAATTTACCCTTGTAGAATCCTCAGTTCAGATCTTAACAATTCTGAGACCTTAACAACCTGGGCATATATACTTAGTGGTGGTGGTAACGGGGGCTTATGCCCAAGGAATATTTATTTATTCAGCCAAATTTTACGGCACCAACTATGGGCTGGTTGTCATATTTGCATCTATAAGCCAAAAGGACAGGTTCTTCCCTCAAAGATTCCATAGTAAGGTAGAATGTAAACGAGTATTATTGAGTAAAGAGGCAATTGTAATACACCAGTGAGTTCTGTGACCGGTGCCTGGCATCAAGTAGGTGCACAAACATTTGTAGGATGAATGATGAGACAGTAAAGGATCTCAGGCTCCTCTGGGCTGTCTAGAAAGGACAGAGGGAGAGACATCCACGTGGGACCTGAGTGCTTCCCCAAGGAGAGGAGGGGAGGAGTGCTCCAGGCTGAGGTGCACAGGGAGTCAGGGAAGGAAGGGACCAAGATGCACACTCAGACAAGAAGTAGGCAGGTGCCTGGTGGCCCGGCTGAGCATCTTGGACCTCATCCTGAGGGCACCAGGGAGCCATCTTCAGACTTTGAGCAGGACAGCGGCTGCTATGCAGAGGGCACAGGGGGCAGGCAGAGGGGCAAAGCGAACCTGGGATCAGCAAGAGCCCTGGAGACCGAGGCCCCTGCGGCCGTGGCCCTCACCTGGTACACAGTCGGCAGGATCCAGCCGTTGCTCTTGCAGAGGGTACAGATCTCGGCCACCTCCCAGGCAGCATAATTGGAGAGGCCGAGCTCCACAAACTTGCCCTGCAGGGGTGAGGCTGTGGTCAGAACCCACTGCAGCCCAGGAGACCAGGAAGGGGAGGTCAGAGTGGGGATCCTGGGAGTGGGGCTGCTCCCAGTGCCTGGGGACTGCCTTGGTGCTTCCACCCTCCTGAGTAGTATCAGGATAAGGAGAAGAGCAGCAGGCCACCTCCTGGAGCTCAGGGGGCTGCCCTCACCTCCTGGTGCAGCTGGTGGCAGGCGCGCAGCGTCTCTTCCACTGGGGTGCTGTGGTCTGGCATGTGCAGGTAGAAGAGGTCCACCCGGGGGCACTGCAGCCTCTTCAATGACGTCTCCAGCTGGGACCGGAGACTGTCAGGCTTCAGTGTGTTCCCAAAGAATGGATTGGCCTTGGTAGCAATTTTCACTTTGTTGGGAGAGAAATGGAAGTTCAGGCCAGTATATCACACACTGGAAGAGGGTCTAGTGTAATGGTTAAGAGAGTTGAGTTAGGCCGGGCGCGGTGGCTCACGCCTGTAATCCTAGCACTTTGGGAGGCCGAGGTGGGCGGATTGTTTGAGCTCAGGAGTTCGAAACCAGCCTGAGCAAGAGCGAGACCCCGTCTTTACTAAAAATAGAAAGAAA